ATTACAAATAATGAAAAAAAAAATTAAAATAAAATTTAAAAAATCAACATGAAAAACAGTGTTCTGTTTAAAAATAAAATAAGTAAAATGTTTCAAAATCCAAATATTAATATTACACATATGTTAAAAATACTTGAAAATGTAAACTATTTGGTCAACCCGCAAATCGCTTCGATTTTCTAAAAAAAATTAGAATCAATGTATTTTATAAGCGTTTAGATTATATTTAATTGTTTGTGTACTAAATCCAGAATGATTAACCCCTTCGACTCGAATGCCGAAAATTCGCGAGTGGAAAGTGTTAAAAATCAATTTAAAGAATTTACGTAAATATTTATATAATTTTAATAATAAATGTTAAAACAGTTAAAATTATTGGAGGGGGGGCGCTAGAACAAATCTTGCATGCGGGCGCTGAGGCCCCAGGACCGGGCCTGCATATACCTATTACAAATGTACTTGTGAAAGATTTAAAAAAAAGGCTCAATCTTTATGGTCTTCAACGAATGTAGTGCAAGGTGTTTTGATAGTGATTTACTGTTCATACTTAATTTTTTTATTTTGATTATTCAGCATATCAGAAAAGTGCAAGGTGTAAGTGGCATTTTGCCATAAAGCAAGTTCCATGAACTTCCTGATATGTATAATAAATGGCAATTAAATAAACAAATAAAAATTTAGATACAATTTTAAACTGTCAGCCTAATCTGAAACTGATTCCTTTCAAATTGAAAGGTCTGAATTTTTTACTGTGCTCCGAATTGCATGAAATTTTGGAATTAGGTTCATCTTAACCTCAAGTTCAAAAGTGAAAACAATTCGGGTTCCGCCACCACCCCCCGGGTAAAATAACGTCGGAAATCGATAGAAGAGCTAATTATAAGAAAAAAGTGTCTTTTATAGTTTTTCAAAAAAACTAATACTTTTCAAGTTACTGGCCACTAAAAATTGATATATTTTTGGCGTTTTTCTTCGTTTTTTTGCAAATATCTCCTAAAATATACATTTTAACGAAAATCATGTAATGAACAAAATAAGGTCAATAAAAATCTTAATAAATTGGTGTTTTATAAAGTGTTCTAGGAATAATGTTAAGCACGATTTGAGTGAGCAAAGTCGTTTTTTATTTCATTCAAGATTTAATTGTTGTATTTAAAGCCATCTAGTGGCGAGGTTTTACATTTTATGCATTTCGGTGAAATGAATGTGGGTTTTATAGTGCTCCATACATAAGCTTTAAAATGAGTGCTGTTACAAGTTTTTTGCGTGTAAAATGAGTGAGCTATCATGTAAATAAGAAGCATATACGATGTATTTTTCTTTTAAATCATATGGTTTAATGAGCGCTATTTCCACCAGAATCAAATTGATCCACATTCCATCTAGAATTCACTTCACTGTAGACATCTTGATGGATTCTAGCAGATTCACTACTTTAGTACAAACTATTTTCAGAAAACCCACGATTTTATAAAAACTTTTTTTTCCAATTTTTTTAAAAATCGAACTTATTTTTATTATATCTCAAAAAGAATAAAAGATACGTATAAAAGCATATAGATAAAAATCAAAGGTTTCTTTCTGGCTTATTATTGTTTATTATTATTTTTCTTACACACAAAAATTGACAGAGTTACGATTGTTTAAAGAGTGCGCGGCCACGCAATCAGAGCCTCTCTCGAGCCTTTTAACCGTTCGCCGTTTCAAAATGAGAGGAGTTACGAAAAAAATTATGATGAAAAAAGTTGTAGCCTTTTTATTAACCTTTCAAATGATATATTACAAATTATGATGGAGTCGAAATTAAAGGAGTTATGACCCGAAGACTGATCGCATTTTTGCCCAAAACTATTGACTTATATATGAGCCGCTCAGTGCACACATCGACTAATTCCACTTTTTGAAAAAACTGAGATATTAGTGGGAAAGAACTTGGTATAATCATAACTTTTTATGATTATAATATTTTTCCATAAGAATAAAAATTGCCACTGTGAAACGAAATTTTTTTTTGACCACTGAATCCATAAGTCATTTATTTCAGAAGACATTTTGATTAACTCCATTCTGTAGTGTATATGTTCTGGTTGGGTTGGATTTCGGGTTTCAAATTAATGAATTACGAATAAGAACACAGAACTGTAGGGTGTTGTGGGTTTCGAAAAAAATTCATCTAGTTTTATAAAAGACATCGAGGACGTTACAAACTTTGAAAAAATAACATACTAAAATTCGTGTACCCGGAAAAACAAGAATATTAAAACTGCCTGAAGTTTATTGAAACTTGTTCAAAGTACAGAAATAAGAGCTAACTTAATTAAAAATAAATTTCTGGTCGGTGAAAATAATTATTAATCTATTGACTCAAGATTTTGTCATTATTGAGTCACGTGCGAAAAAAAATCGAGACATAATTTTACCAGATATTTGATACGATATAATAAAAACATTTAAGAAAAAAGCGCCATTGTAGCTAAGCCGAATGCTTTACTAAGATTTTTATCTATTTTTTATTTATTTAGAACAATAAATCAATAACAGATAAGTAACCATCACAGGGTGTCCAGAAAATTGGCTTAAAATGCGCTGAATTTAGAATAGAAAGGTTCAAACCCAACGATATACAATTTAAGTGTGACTACAATGAAGATCCGAATTTTAAAAAAAAGTTTGTATCAGTTAGACCAAAATGTTCAAATAATATAGTACATATTAGTCTTTATTATATTCTAAAGACAGACTTTGAGTACTCGGTCTCAATGTTAAACCATTAAAGTCTTATGGAAACTGGTTCAATTATAAAGATTATTGATTTTTGAAAATTTGCTTTTAGAAAATACTCGAGTTAACGTGTTCGTTTGTTTCCAATTATGTTTAATAAATCCACTCGAAATACTTTTAATCACTCATAAATTAATTTATTTTTTATTGATTAAGTCGATTATTTACACATATCGAAGTTCATGTAACTTGCCTCGAGGCAAAATACCAATACCAACTAATCATGAAAAAGCTTTAACACGAATATATAAAAATTAGCTTTATTACTTTTTCCAGTTGAAAACTTGATTAACTCCACAAGTCATATCAAAACTTCAACTTTAATGATAATTATTTTCTCACAATTAATAGTTATAAATCATATATACCGTTACATGGAAGCTATATATGTATTCATACGTTCTAAAATATATTTTTCAATTTATATTATAACAGGAATTTTTAAAAGCAATATACATTACTTTATCGCTTTTCTCCACTTTCTGACTTTCGGAGTTAGTCACTGTGTGCACTGAACGGCTCATATGTGCTTATGTGTATTTATAATAAAAAAATTTGAAATAATATGAATTAATTGGTTTAGCGTATATCTCGGGGACCAACTACAAAATGTTGATCATGAAATGTATCTATATTCATGGTACAGAATTTTGGCAGGCAGATTTATTCTTATAGTAAAGTATTTTATGGCTGGAAGGTCCACGTGTTAAATAAATTAATATAGTTTTATATCACTATAGTCAAATGAAAGTTTAATAATTGCAGTAACAAGAACAACGAGTTTAGACAAAATATACGAATTTAGACAAAATTATACTGGGTACTATTGTTATATTAACTGTTTTTATTTAAGGGTAGTTTTAAGAGTTGAACAAATTATGGATATGGTAATTATTTTCGAGAAACTAAAATAATATTTATATCATTTTGAATTTCTTAATATTCTTTCAATTTCAAAATATTTTTTTCAAACAATATTTTATCAAGGGCTTGTTTTTAAAGGTCGAAAAAGGGTTAAAAATTTGATAATCAAGAAAGAAAACATAAAATATTATTTACTTTATACGTAATTCTTTTTATATCATACCGAAATTTATTTTTAAGTGTTTTTTTAATTTAGGCGTTGTTTGAAGGGTTTTACGATTCTCACGGGGTTGAAAATGATTTTATTGCAAGGTAAATGTATTAAAAAATATTTTTTAATTATATCCTATAATATTAAAAATGCTCAATGTCCACTTATTTATTAAGGGGTCGCAATCCCCCAAGGGGGTGGTGGCGGAACCCAAATTGTTTTCACTTTTGAACTTGAGGTTAAGATGAATCTAATTCCAAAATTTCATGCAATTTGGAACACAGTAAAAAAATTCAGAGGTTATACCCTTTTTTCCTCTCCATTTACTGCACTATAGTGCCCATAAAGATTATGATATATGCAATTATATTAATTATAGTGCAAAAACACTTGCTTTTATGTCTTAAAACTTTTAAGTTAAAAGCGCCATTATTATCAATCATTATTACAAACTCAATGATTTTTTTTTAAACACCCAATTTTAGTAGATTTCCAATATTTTAGGATTATAAAATCTATAGACATGTAAAGTTACATTATAAACGCACCAATTTTCAATTACTTAGTTTTATTTTATTAAAGGAGCTATTTGGCTGATAGGATTTTTAAATCTTTGAAATCAGTGCTACAATATTTACTTTTGGCTCATTTTTTGGCCATTTTTGAGGAAAAAATTAACACACATACAACTTCAGAGATTGCATAAAATTAGCAAGTCGGATTTTCGGGTGAAAACAAAGTTTTTTAAAAAATATGTTGATGACACAATAATAACTCATAGACCTTATAATATATTATGTATTATAAAGTCTTGTACTAACTAAACAAATTCAAAAACAGAAAAAATGAACAACGTTTATTACAAACAGGATATATTACTGATTATGAGTTTTTCGATATACTCCTACCAGACTGAACTAAGATCCATATTACTCTGGCTTTTCCCAAAACACGAAACAACTTCAGAGTCAGATTAAATTTAACGACAAATATAAATACTATGTTTATTCCAGTCTGGTTGCATTTTTTAGTGAAAAACTCAACAAATCTTCAGTGTATGTGATATTGCCCCGATGTGTGTGTGTACATGTACAATTGTAAAATTATATTTTTATTGTCCATTTAGTTGTTATATTTTTTTCAGGATTCTCTATCTTCTGTATTTGATTTAGATGAGATGCTTTCGTCCAACTGGGATTTATACTTAATAAGTATATTAACTGCGATGATTGGAGTTTTAGTGTACTTTCGGCGGGCGCCATAGCCACCACATGAAGAGCAAAAAGGAAGTTTTTGAAAGTAAATTAAAAAATTTAATCAATGAACATTTTTTCCATTTGTACAAATTAAATTATAAAGGATTCTTTGAAATAAACTTGTTATAAGGGACATAACTTATTCAATACATTATATGAAGTAATTGAAGTAAATAAAGCGATTATATGATTCATATCTGAAACTTTTTATTTCAAAAGATGTATATAAAACAAACTATTTCAAATTCAAATCAAATACATATATTCATAGAATACTTAATACAATCTTAATTATGCATAATAGTTAAGATTAGCTTTCTTTTTAGCTTGAACTTCCATAATAGCATCCATAAAATCTTCATGTGTGACTGAATTTGCTGATCTTCGCAGAGCTATCATACCAGCTTCTACACAAACTGCCTTACATTGAGCACCATTAAAGTCATCTGTAGAACGTGACAATTCTTCAAAATTCACATCAGGACTCACATTCATTTTACGAGAATGAATTTGCATAATACGTGCTCTTGCTTCTTCATTTGGATGAGGAAATTCAATTTTACGGTCTAATCTTCCAGAACGCAATAATGCTGGATCTAAAATATCAACTCTATTGGTTGCTGCAATTACTTTTATATCAGCAGTAGAACTGAAGCCATCTAGCTGATTCAATAATTCCAGCATTGTACGTTGAACTTCACGATCACCTGCTTTTTCAGAATCAAAACGTTTTGTACCAATAGCATCTAGTTCATCAATAAATATTATGGCTGGTGATTTTTCTTTTGCCAATGCAAATGCATCACGAACTAACTTTGCACCATCACCAATAAACATTTGTACTAATTGTGGCCCCGCCAATTTCAAAAATGTAGATTTAGTTTGAGCTGCACATGCACGAGCCAATAATGTTTTTCCTGTCCCGGGTGGCCCATAAAGTAAAACGCCTTTGGGTGGATGTATCCCTAAATTTATGAACTTCTCTTTGTGCGTCATTGGCAATACAACCGCTTCAATTAGTTCTTGGATTTGCTTGTCTAAGCCACCAATGTCAGAGTATTGTTCTGTAGGCCGCTCATCAACCTCCATTGCTTTGACTCGAGCATCATATTCAGCAGGTAATGTTTCCAAAATTAAATATGAGTCTTTGTTGACACCTACTAAATCTCCAGGCTTCAATTGTTCTGGATCTACTAAACCTATAACAGGTAGAAAGTACGTCTGTCTGGTAGAGGTCTTAATGACGGCGCATTTACCTTTCCTTTGAGAATCCAAATCAACCACAGCCCCATCTTCTTCCTCCTCTTGCGGATCTACATCTAATAACTCTATAACATTTGAAACTAAGTATGGTAAAGTTTTGTTTACTTTGATTTTCTCGGTGTTTTCTTTTATTTTTTCGTTTTGTGCTTGTAATTCATGAGATATGCGCATAACCTCACTCTTCATTATTTTAATTTCATTATCCAAGAGACGTCCCCTGCTAGTTACTTCATCGGTGGACATACGCAATACTTCTTGACTCAAGGCATCGTCATCGTCTTCCCATTGTAGATTTCGATTTGCACTAGACATTTCAATATTATTTTACAATGATCTAACACAAACCAATATGTACGTTCAAATGCAAAAATCAAACACTTTTGTGTATAAATAGAGCGGAGTAGAGCGCAGATGACATAGCGATTTTAACGAAGTCAAAATATGTCACTTTTAAAAGATGTATACTCTTCTTTTATCTATGGATGTATATAAGGTCTATGGCTTATACTCAGTACAAAGATTATATATGGACTACTAGCGCCGCAGGCGAGTTATCATATTATTGTCTAGGACAAAAACTATTGAAAGTTGTTATCATAGATAAGTAAACATAAATAGATCGCTATCTCAGGCCATTTGACATTACCTCCATTTTAATTTTTTCAGCCATCTAAAAGAGGCAGCACTTGTACAGTGAATAAATTAATCACTGGTATTACCATAGATAAAAGAAGAGTATATAGATCGCTCTCTTGGGGCATATTTCGTTGCCACGTTAACTGTCAACTTGCCGGGGTTAGTTCGAGCTGCTCTCTCTTGGTGCGCACGCGTCGACCGTACAAAAAATACTATAGAAATGCACCAATATTATAGACGTTTGAATTCAAAATTAAAAAAAAAAGAAATTGAATTTTAAAAAGCATTTATTTTTAACAATAGTATTTCACACACATGGTTACAAAAAATTCATCCTTATAAGCTAAACACAAAAGAAATAAAATTGTGTATATACATATACATATATATATATATATATATATATATATATATATTACTTATAATTACAATTAGATTGCTTAAAATTACAATTAGATTAAGATAAATAATTTAAACACATTTCATAATTCGATCTCAATAATAAATAAATAAAAAAAATTGAGAAACTATCGGATCTCTTTCATTATTCGCAAAAATTTGAGAAGCTATCGGATCTTTTTCATTATTCGCAAAAGCAACAAAATTTCTAGAAACTGAAGAGAAAAAAATAATTATATTCATATAAAAAACAAAATATATATATATTTAAAAATCATTTGCAAAATTAATGCATACGATAATCTTCTCAAGTAACTCAGTTTATATTTTTTTTGAATAATGCTAATTAACAATTAAGTTACTGTTTTGTTTCTAGTAATATTTTCTACGACTAGTGTTGATGTTAATTTGAATGTTAAACAAAATGTCATTATCATCATTAACATAAAAAAGGAAATTATTAATAGTAATGTACAAGTACTTAATAGTTTTCTTATGGCATCTTCAATGACACATTTAAGAATAACATCTCTATCAGAAATAAGGGGTGCACGTTAATGGTGTTTTATTCCTCTAAATAAAAAAAAGAGTGCGCGTAAGGATCACACGCGATTGAAGTAAAACTTATTTGCAATTATATTGTAGCAAATTTAAGTTGAGTAAAAATAAATACATTATATAAAAATTTTGAATAAGGTTTATTAGTAATGTGGTAACACTCGTGATGCACACATTTATTAGTGTCGTCAATCATTATACACATTTATATAATGATAAATTATAAATTATATATTTATGATTACATTAAAAATATGTATAATATTTACAAACAATAATGTAATCAAAGACGTACTTGAAATATGACATGATCGTTTTAAAGTAATTGCTGATTCATAAATTCTATAATATTCATTCACACAGTGGATTATGTTAAACAACGCCAAAACAAATATTGTTTTTGCAAATTAATTCATCCTGTAACAATTGTGTTTGAAGAACTTTATGTAATTAAAATTAACATACATTCATTTACTGTTTGTGATTTTTTACTTTTTCGCTGACGATATAATCTCATTCCTTGAACAGCTGTAATATCCGTCTTGCCTAACAAATTGAAGCCATACTTTTATATTTGTTTTATTTATCAAGCCCTGCACATAGCTTGATCTATGTATAGGTGAAATTAACCTTTCAGATACAGTATCTAGTTTAGGTAGATAATTTGGTATAGGTGGAAATACAAACCGGTTAAACTTACACAAAGTGGGAATTTTACCCGAATTTAATATCTTTCGACAAGTTTGACATCCAACCTGATTATTTTATCCAACCTAACCCATGTCGCGCCTAAAGAAGTTTTACTTCAAAAAATGTTCAGAGACTACAAGCTAAATACAAAACTCAAGTGAAAGTCGACACATTTTGTTTTGTTTTTGACATATGATTTGACATTTGATGTATTTTTTGTTTTGCTCGCAGACTAGATCGAATAATTGCGATTGCTGCGCTTACAGCGTCGTAGTCTTCAACTTCACGTTGGCGTTTTCGTTGCATTTGTACGGATTTACACCCGTGTCGCGCCTAATGAAGTTTTTACACCCATGTCGCGCCTAAAGAAGTTTTACTTCAAAAGAGATTAGCGAATATATAATTTCTTTCATTTGACAGTTCCTGTCAATCTGTACAATGTAATTATTTTTACGATCATTAAACAACGCAGATAATAATATTCCTGTGTAATATCGAAATTCAACTATCACTACTCACAAACTTTTCGTGGGACATAGCCAAACCTAAATTACCCCTTAGCTAGAATTTTATCATTAAGCATGAATTTCTTTCCATTTAATAATTTAGTATTTTCTCCTAGCCGACTTAATATATCATTATGAGTACTATTATTCAATGTCAGTGGGAGATCAGCAAATATTTCAGCATGTTTCAGACTGGCTTGTAATTTCTTTATTAATGTTTTTCCCTGTTTATTCGTCTCATATCAATACTTGTGTTTATTATGTTATTATGTTACTTGTGTTTATCAATACTTGTGTTTCATAACTACTTCCAAGAGAAAAACTGCTGAAAAAAATCAATGTTAAATTATTTATTATGAACCTTTATTATTAGTACAAGAATAATTCTTAAAAACTTACCTATCAGTGAGTTGGTTAGTCTGACGGCAATTTTATCTTTCAATAATTATAACCTTAAAATTCCTAGCATTGCTAAATGTCTCAGTTATTATGCTATAATAAACACTTATATCACGTAGTAATAGATGCAAGTATTTTGAAGTATGCATATTGATGAATATACTTACTTATTGTTGAAGGCCCGTAAATATTATTAATCATTTTACATACTACATAGGTTCTAGTAGGAAACACTAATTTTGACCAGCCAAATAGCAAACATCTACAACATCCAAAACAATATTTATTTGTGATTAATGTTTGGTTATTTTATTCTTATTACGTACTTTGTCATTTCTCGCTGGAAATACATGCAATTTTGCATTTTTTTGGTATTAGTGCACCCTGGAACGTAACACTTCGACATTTTGCTTTCAAACTAATCCTAATCACTTATAAACGCAACTGAACGTTCTCGAAATTGTTTGATCGCCCGCGTTGAAATTGTTACCCGATGAGTACAAAATCGCTGCAAGAGCGCTCCAAGGGAGAGCAGCTCTAACTAAAAGCGAGCTACAGAGTTTTGTTTGGAGATTACCGACCATGGGTATTACTCTTAGATATGGTTCGCATACATGGCCGGTAATCTCCGAACAAATGTAGATTACGTTTTATACTTGTTTATCTATGATTACCTTGTTCTGAAATGAATTGGTATTCGAAATGATCGAAGGATGGCGCTACGATTTCCAATTTCATTGAACTAGCAGCTAGCTTGATCTACATCGATTTGATCGCCATTTTCTATAAGTTGTCATCGCGTATTGTAGTTGAGATGTGTTATATTTGTTTTTCTGTGATTGCTCATATATAATTATATTTTGGTGAATACTTTTTTCATTTATTATTAAGTTAAAATGGTAAAGTGTAATGTGCCAAATTGTTTTAACTCCAAATATAACTATAAATGCATGTGTTATATTTGTTTTTCTGTGATTGTTTATATATACTTATGTTTTGGTGAATACTTTTTTCATTTATTATTAAGTTAAAATGGTAAACTGTAATATGCCAAATTGTTATAACACCAAATATAATAAAAAATGCATGTCTTTCCGGCATCTAATTATCAGGTATGTATATAATGATGTATTATGCATATAATGAATATGTATCATGAAAATACTATTAAATGTTATATATTATGTATGTATATATATATATATATATATATATATATATATATATACCCTGAGTTTGTCAAGTGCAGGTTTAAAGTCACCTATTCTGACACCAGTTTTCCGCAAAGGTATTTTTTCATAATAATTGCAGCAAAAATAATTAATATGATAATAACAATATCTTCAAATAATATGATAACAATATTGTAACAAGGATAAAAAGAACAGCACATTTTTTAAATAGAATGAATACTTCCCAAACAAAATAATCCTAAAAACACAATATATATATATATATATATATATATATATATATACTAGCAAACCCGACGAACACCGTTTCGCCCCCAGATGGTTTCGTGAGAAAGATTAAGAAATTTTTTGTGAATCCGCAAATTATCCGTTTCATGGAAGTGATCTTTGGTAAACCACATTTTTTGTTTTTTTGGTCTGACGTTAACACAAACAAAGCGGATGGCTTTCCAACTCGTGTATACGTATAACTGCCCATGTGAAAAACAATGATTTTCTAAATAATCTATTATATTTGAAATTTATCCCGCAAACACTAAGCGATTGGCCTTGCGACATGTTATTGCGAACGCAAGGCGAACTGGATATTGCAATCGTTTGAAGTCAAACGGAAGACCAGTCAGAATCATTGGTATGTCAACAAATCGCCAGCAATTTTTGATTGAATGGTGAAATTCAGGGCGTGTACATCATTATTCTTTGCGGCAAGAATTGCTCGTTGACTTAACCAAGCATAATTCTGATAATTCTCACTAATGTCATTACTCGAATTTTTAATTACGGTGCGTGAAGTTCCAGCAGCTTGCATTAAGGCTTGATGCCATGCACAACTAATTTTCTTAGCTATAAACCTTGCGGAGCCCGAGACCTTTCCAACGAATGCAAAATTGTCGAAATCGGTTCGTGCGTTCTGGAGTTATTTCGTCAGGAAGGAAAACCCGACTTATTTTTATATATATATAGAAGATATATATATATATATATATATATATATATTGATATCCAAATTGAGATAAAACTAAATTGCTAGGATTAAAATTCATTTACGAGACATTCTTGTTTGT